AGTCCTTATTCTAATTATTGTCAGTGTTGTTGACAATGTCTAATGAGGGATGAAGAAATGCTTCTGAGTTCTTGAGTCCAGGTGTGTGCCCTGGAGACATGAACTCCACATTTGGACAATACCCAAACACACATCAGCCCCTTATCATGCTCTAGTTTCCATAGAAGACAAGCCCAAACACACAGGCTGGACTGGAGCTGTCACAAGTTTTGACCGTTTCCTGATCTCAGCAAATGGAGGAGCAGAAAGTTAAGTCACACCTCACTGGGCACCTATAAATCAGATTGGGTGTGGGTTTTGTGCACAGGAAAAACATCTCTAAGAGTCAATTTTATGTCAGTTAGCATTTTTTTTTTTTGAAACCCATATATCCTTGAAATATATATATATATCTCATTGACAAGAACTCTGCCAGAAAAAACAAAAGCACTGCTTTATTCAGCAATATCAGTACCAGATTATTTCACACTCCTGCAATTACATAACTGCAAGGAGTTGTTTCTGTTTATAGTAGGATACACTGTTTACACAGTGTGATAAGGCCTATACAAGAATATACAGACAGGATCAAAAACATCTGAGTTAATTTCAAACATATCTGTATTTGAAAGCTTGCTGAAACTGATGAGTATTTATAGTGCTTATAAACCACAGTCAGAGAGCAGGACTGCACTGGGCTATGCAGTGTAAACACACAGACTAATGTTACCATTCCTGTAACAAGGATTCTCTTTAGGGATGTTACCAGATGGGAGTTGAAGAACACAGCTCAAGAACAGAATATAGTAATCAAATATTGAATAGAACTTCTGTTCTCAGCATATTTCTACACTTCCAACTTAGCTAGAGAAGATAGCCTTGACAAAACTGATTTTATTTTCTACTTAGAAAACATGATTATCCCACACATACCTTCTTATTTGCAATTTTATTAGGATACTTCCAAAAACAGTGAGCTCTTTGCTTCATAATTAAAACAGTAAAATTAATTATTCTGTAGGCTTTCTGACACTTCCTGCATGTAATTTTTAAACTACGGACAGAGTAATCTGGAGGTTAAAGTATTTTGTCCATTTATGAATGATTGTATCAGATTTAAGAGACCTAGGAATTCACCATTTCAGAAATCATTCTGTGTCAATTTCTTCCTTAAAAATAAAAAATCCTTTTTCTTTCTGCACCAATACATGAACATTTTCAGAAAGAAACAGAAATTGAAGTGAACTGGAAAGTCTGAATTAAGAAACAAAAATCTCAAGTGACAGCTTGAGAAATCACATAGATTTTATATCTGGTCCATAGTTCTTTGAAATTTTGGAATCAGAATTCAAACTCTCTCTTGCAAATTTCAGTTATGAATAACCAGAAATTGTCTGATTTATGTAAACAAGCTAATTGACTTAAAAATTATGCTTTATGCATGTAAGAAAAATATGACTGAAGAAATTTTGTGAATTAGCATGTTAGAGAGCACTTGTAGTTGAAAAGTTACATTGTAAATTCTTAGAATCTCTGAAAAGCTACCTCAGAGGTTGAAGCCACTTGACACTAGAATGATAGCTGGTGAAAAATAAATTACTTAATTTTTGCGATTCATTCGAGTTCGCAACAATAAACAGATGCTACTTGGTATATTTCCCATGTACAGCTTCCTCACCCCATAGCAAGTGTCTTAGCATTTTTCTTTTTCAGCATTTTACTGTGGGGTAGTTACGAGCTGTCTACAGATATTAGATTAAGTAATATAAACCTAAAACCACTCACAAATATTTCCAGATCACTCCAAGAGTTATGTTCCTCAAATGACAGAAGGGTGACGCACTAATACAATTACACTAAATTACATGAATACAATTTCTTTGATCTCATATATTCCCAAAGCAAATTACAAGCTGAATGGATATTCCACTTTCACTATTCCCATGTCATTTAACAATAGGTTAAACACATTATATAAGGTGATTTCTAGTCCTTGACTGGTGACTATAGATATCCCTATCATAAGCATTCAGGAAAAATGATCTCAGGCATGTACAAGGGTAGCAAATCACTCTTATTTAAATTAAAGTAGGTATTCACAACTGTTTAATATATCGTTATTCTGTTGCACACATGATTCACGTCAGCACTCCAAGAATGACAAGAATATATTATAGAACAATCATAGAACTTACGATGACTTAATATATAGTTTTTCAATCTGGGGAGGTAACTTCAAGTGTTAGAAGACTTAAGACTGAAAATAGGAAGAATAAGACAACAAGAGAGCAGCATTCCATTACAGTGTCCTCTAGAAGGCAATGAGACTCTAGCAAAGTGAAATGCTCAAATCCCTGGGTTTAAAACTTTTTAATGGTAAGCTGACAAGCTGAAAGGGATATATTTTCCTTACTTTTTAATACTTCCCCAGTTCATCTCCTTGCCAAGTTGGATGACAGCTGGAAAGTTACTAACAGTATTTGATTTAAGAAAGTAAAAATGGCCAGACAGATGTTTTTACAATCTCTAATGTAGGGCTTGAAAATAAAATGTTGGAGGCTGGTTGTAAATAGAGTTACATGATCCTTATGCATTTTACCCTGCCAGCCAGTGCATGTGTTCTGGATCTCTAGTGCCTCCATTCTCACTGCAAAAGTGACTCCAAAATTTGCTGGAGTCTGAACGCAGCTCTACTGACTACAGCCATAAATCATTTGACGTTCATGCTTTATCCTTAAAATTTCTGAGAACAAAAGGCATCATCTTCTTAAAGCCTCTTAGAAAACAAAGCACACTTTTAAAGAATGCATCCTTATGTGATTCACATACAAAAGTTCAAACTAACGGCAACAGTCCACAGCCATCAAGGGAAATAATAGCAATCGATGCTATTTTTAAAGGGAAGAGTGGGGGCGAGGGGTTAACATATGTGGAATTAGCTCTGGGCAAAATGAGAAGCCATTGCATCTAAAATCAAATGCATTCTCTGAAACAGACACCAGTGACCAAATTCCCATGTAGACTCCTGCAGTCCAAGAGTTTCAGCAGAATTTGGCCTTCCTCTTAACTTAGCTTCATTAGGTCATATCATGCCATCAGTTTTTATGTTGGATGCCCTACTTACTTCACATCAGTTGTTGGCACTATGTAGGCAATTTTCCGAATTGGAGGGGGAGAAAAAGATGGTGTGTGCACAAGGGAGAGGCATTTTTTTCCCATGTAGAATAAAAGTAATTTCTTAGAAGAGTTTGAGGGGGGAAAGTGATATTTGTATCGCTTCTACCAGATGTCACCAGTGGCAACAAGAGCCAGTATTAAATATCTATCCATCAAATTCTTCTTGAAATTTTTCAGCGTCAGCTGGTCAACAACTCATTGAGAAAACTGGGAAGGCTGAAATCTCCACAGCCATTCTTCACCAGTGTTTTTTCCCATCACAAGAACTATCTGTGTCTGAAACTTTTGCATGGAGGACAGACATTCAGAATTTGTAAAAAGAAAAAAAACCTTGTAGCAAGTAGTAATTTTTCTTATTTTTAAGAAATTTTCAAATTTTCCTATTTTAAATTTTTCTTATATTTATATACAGTAAGTGAAATAATACCCCCTCCACACACAGTATCTTTTGCAATAGTCTTTTGTTGCTTTTTCATCAGCTGCTGTCAGCGTTGGATGCACTCAGGTCTTGTAGGTTCTCCATCTGCCACTTTTTCTGCCTCATACTATGATTTATTAGTGGTTGGTTTCAGCGCTTGGCTAGGTTTGCCTTCCATCTTACAGGGAAATGCCTTGGAAAAAAGATGCCTTGATACAGTCTCTGACATTAAGACATACTCTGCACTGTCACCTCTTTCTGTGCCACCACCTCAAGCTGCAATGCCAATTGCACTGTCATCTGACATCCCTTACCCTGGCCATAATGCCATCTTGTGCTGTCCTCCATATGACTTGTCTTTCACTGTTCTGCTGCTTCAAGCCACAGGTGAGATCCAAGCTGACAGGCTCCTCACCCAGTTAGGCTACGATGTTCATGAAAACTGAGATGATCAAATTGTTCCTATGCTATTATGAATAAATAGATAAATAAGTAAATAATGTAACTAGCAGAAAGGAATACTTGGAAACAGTGCTGGCCAAAATATTTTTAAAAAATAATCACTTCTCTACAAGACATCAGAAGGCTACAAAATTGCAAAGATACTCTTCAAGTATTGTTTCCTGCAGCAATGCTGCTACCGGAATTTTTTTCTCTATTCTGAAAGCAAAGATCCTTCATGCAGGGCTCAGGGGCTTCTGTCTTAGAGACAGCTGGGTAGATCACAACCCCTTTGCTTCATACGTACATGACTAAACAGGATGTCAGAACCTTGCAGAATTGTAAGATTTTCTCTGGAAACATACCAGACGAAATGCCCTCCCCCAGCCAACTGTTCCAATGGATTGACATAATATTATTTTACCTCCTGTAGCAACAAATTGACTGTGTGGAGTTTTTTTGAAAACAACAAACCAGACATTCTGGGACACAACATGACTATTATTTTCCCTAAATGGTTTGCTATACAAACAATATTTGAACATGGTACTTTTATTTTTTTTGTGTGTGTTTAGTGCTCTGATGATGAAACTATCACATGTAGTGTCTACAGAGAAGATAAGTTATCACATTTAAACATTCATTAAAGGCATCTCTTCAGAAGTTAGTAGTGCTTTATTTCATCTGACTCTTTGGATCACGCATATCAGATATTGGGGGGGGTTTCCTGACCTACATCATATGGAAAAGTTGTTTTCTGCCTAAATCGAAAGAAATTTAATATGACTGTCCTTTTCGCCTATCTGGCCACTTATCTTGTTTCGTTTGCAAATATCATATGTATTCTCTTGAGATAAAAATAGTGCAAGATGATTAGTTAGGCAAGTTCATTTGACACCACTCACCCTTCGTGACGCTGAAATCTAAAATCTGTATATGGTATACAACTTAAAGTATATATATGCAAGCTCAGCTCTGCTGGAGACACACAGCAAGTACGTTCCTCCCAACCAGATTGCTTCCTTATCCAGCCAAGAAGACCACAAAGGTAAGCTGATTAGATCCCCTGCTTTCAGAAAAAGAAACACAAAAGCAAAATGCTCCCTAAATAGAAAGAGCCTATGCAATTAAATAACTATTCTTATATCAGCTTCCAGTATGTCCTATCTTTACAAGCTAACATAGAATAGAATCAGCATTCAGATCACAGGATGGAAAAACGACAGGACTAATGTCCCTTGTAAAAAATGCCACAATTTTTAGGTTTTCCTTCAACTCTTCCCCATTTTTAATCCTGTCAACAGTGAGAATTAGGTGAATAGCAGAGCTCCAAATTACCTTGCCTAGTACTGAGAGGGGGAAGTACTTTGCACAAGAAGCCACTGGGACAAAACAATTGCAAGCAAAACAAAAGTAACTCATCTGCCTTAGGTGGAGAAGTACCCATTGCCATCTGCGTGAATTTGTCCCATTGTGTCCTTACACCTCCTGAGATATTCAGAAAGGGACTGAGATGATTGACAATTTCCTCTGCTGCAAACCAACAGCCATTTCGTATTTTAGGCAAAGTTTAAACTTGTGTGTAGATCTCAAACCAGCGCACTGACTATAAATGGTTACCAGCATCGATTTCCTTCTCATGAATGCTGCTTTCCATGCTTAGACAGGAAGAATGATGTTGCTGAAGATCAGTTAGGGATTCATGAAAAGGTATTTCTGTTCTCTTGTGGCTTTCACGAAAAACTTTTCAATGACTTAGTTCCCCTTCCTTCATTAACATGAAGCTAGTCTACTATGATGTCTCATGTTTTAAACTGTAACCAGTCTGCACTGGTGTGTGCAGTTTACCAAACTGTAAATGCATTGGTGCTATGTTCACACTAAAAAATTGACTAGAAATTCAGACCTTGTAGCATTTTCTTAAGTGATATATATTACGTTGGCAAACTACTGCAGCTGTTGATGGCTGAATGGGACAAAGTATCTTTTGTCAAATGCTGCTGTGTCAGAAGAAAATGCCTCCTCCACTCTACTAGGAATGAATATTAAGTCTCAATATCTCTGTTCTAAGCACATCAATATACTGAAATGCCAAAATCTGGATTAAAAATCTGGTTTATTTTCACCTACATGGAATTTAAACAAAAACAAAAAATTCCAACATATTTCATAAAACTTTTTTAGAAAGCTATCATGAAATGTAGTCTTTTATTGATGCAGCAGCCCAGCAAGCCAAATTTATAATGTAGTTACATTTATTGTTGCAACTAAACAGAGGAGGAACTTACTCTCCAAATCTAGATTTCCTTGAAATAAGTAAAATTATTACTTATTCTACACTATTATTTTAATTCTTTGGAAATATCACTACAATTATTGATAGTACTACTAGATTTTTAAAATTCCAATTACATTTATTCCAGATAGAGTCCTAAGGGACATATTGAGCCTTATCTTTTAGGTATGATGTAAATATATGCCTATTTCAATTTAGTAATAACCCACCTCCAGGAAAACCCACACAGAAGTCATTAAGTTTTGTGGTGCTAGACACCTTTGATTTGCTCTCCCAGTGCAGTACAGGCATCAGATCTTCCTGAAGCCCCACACTCCCGCATGCAGAATTCTTCCCTTATTACCCAGATTTAAGTGGAAGCACCTGCTGCAGACATCTGTTACAGTATGCTCCACTTACAATTAGATGAATAATGTCTCCCCTATCATATACTGTCACACCATCAACTTCAAATAGAGCCATGAAAGAGGTAGAGAAGTCATTTTAATGACTAAGTAGCTCACATTTAATTTATTTTACAGTTCAACAATGGCCATCACTGACATCCTTTCTGCTAAAGACATTGAGTCTGCTCTCTCCAGCTGCCAGGGTAAGGAATGGTCTCTCTGCAGCCAGAAGATGCATATCATTTTTATGTCTTAAGATGACATGCCTATCATTTTTCCCTTAGATTCCTTCCCCGTGAGATCTCTTTCTAGCTACAATACAGTATAGCCCCTTGAATTCAGAAAGTCTCACAAGTGGTTATTTGGTGGGTGACGTTCCCCAAAACACAGAGCAGCAGTTAAAGGACCATAGTTTCTGTTAAGGCAGGCTTAACTCTAAACTCTGTCAATTTTTAAACCTGCCAAAGACTTATGTTAAAATAGTTAGCCTTTTCCTACAAAATGTTAAAAAAAGCCTCAGCTTGCAGAATCAAAGTGTCATTTGTGAAGCAATGACTTGTCTCAGTTCTCTTATGAGTTCCTTGGCAAGATCAAGCCAATTTTCCAAATGCTCAAAGAGCTAGTTTGACTGTAAATTACTTTTCTACCAAATCCTTCACTAAAGTAAGGACTAAGTGAATATACAGTAAGAATTATAGATGTTGGTGTGTAAGCCAAAGTAGCACCCTCTAAATATTTATTATTAATTGCATGTGACACATTGCATAAATCCTGATTTAGCAGAATGTGCACTGCAGCAGAAAACTTCAAACTGGCTGAAAGGATACATGACCACAGGCACAGAGTGATTAAGGGAAATTATCCACTGTATCTTCTCTTTTTTGCTCCACTGGGGAACAAGAGGAAGAGAGGCAGACTGACGCTTAAGAAAAGGCATACATACTCCTAAGGAATACATACAGTAATAGCAACTTCAAGGTAAAATATTTAAACAACTTCTGTTTCTTCCAGCTGATGATTCCTTCAACTACAAGTCTTTCTTCTCCACGGTTGGTTTAACCACCAAAACTCCTGATCAGATAAAGAAAGTTTTTGGAATCCTTGATCAGGACAAGAGTGGTTTCATTGAAGAAGAAGAGCTTCAGTAAGTACTGTTCAGCTGCTGTGTTTCTTTACATCATGTAAACTTTTGAACTTGCTTGGTGTCCTAGAAGAAACTTGCTGTTATTTTAAAAATAAAAAAAATTCCTTGTCTCTCCTTGAATCTGTGTGGATTTCCTCAGATAACCACAGCAGACATTACCTTATGGGGTTTTTGGCATGGGTTTAAGGAAACCAGAAATACCAATATGCCAAAGACATTTCCAAGAATAAAACTCAAGCACAGTACTCTACCCCGTTCTATTTCAGGCTGTTTCTGAAGAATTTCTCTTCAAGTGCCAGAGTCCTCACCTCCGCAGAGACCAAGGCTTTTCTGGCTGCAGGTGACACTGATGGTGATGGCAAAATTGGAGTGGAAGGTAAGATCTTTGGAAACTTAATAAAATTTCTGTTTTAAAATGCATGTGTTTAGGGCTGTATTTAAACTGTGTCATGAAGAATACATCCAAGTACTTTGGCCTGGTATTTTCTGCCACAATTTTTATTCTAGTGAATACTCCTTTACTGTCATAGCTTTATTCCCACTTGGTCTCTGTTGCAGCAACAGCATATTTAGGTCCAGTGTAGAGCCTGTTCTTCCAACCAATAATAACAGCTTTGGGGTTAATTCTGCCATGTGTCTGATCCATAGTGTGTCAGATATTTCAAACATACTGAACACCTATTAATTCTTTGAATTTCCATTTCATCAGTGGATGCTCTACACTTCTGGCCATGTGACACTTTCATTTTTAAACACACTTCCACCTACATAAATTTATTTCTTCATCTACCACTATCAAACATTAGCCAATATTACTGAGTGGTTAATTCAGTACTGTAAAATAAGACTGGTATTGTTTTTCAAGGCTAGAACTGCTGCAATGCAGCACAGAATTTTGTGCTGGAAGATTATCTGATAAATTCAAATTTCACTGGGCAGTCCTCCTATGAGAAATTAAATCAAATTCCTAAAGAAAATCTCACAGAGATGATGTGAACTGGCCAGGATATTTCTTTTAGAAATTGCAGCAAGGGAAAATAGGACATTATGCATCATATATTAGAGATGAAGTCACTGAAAACAGGGCTGTCTCATCTGAACTAGGACAGGTGGCAATAACTCTAACAGACACACGTGCTAATCTTAGCCAGGGTTTGGGAGGAGATATATACTGTTGAAGGAATTTGCTTTAGCAGCAGCTTTTGCAGCTTCTGTTTATGAGCCCCAAATAGGGCATTATATTATGCAGATCTTAGCCCTTAACTGTTGAATCTCCCATTCTGAAATAACATCACTACTGATAGTTTTTCTGTGGGATAACAAAACCAAAAATCCCTCATATTGAAAGCTACAGGCTCAACCTAATTCACTCTCTGCTTCCTTGGCTATTATCAGAGTTTGTAATGGGTTAAAGATAGTTTACCTTTAACTCAGGATTTCCCACAAATATGAATTTACCGACACACTCCTCCTCTCTGCAATTACTCTTTTTAAAGAGTGAAAAATCTGTTACGCCCCCAGAATCCCAGTTTAGCAGTAGCTTGTGCAGTGTTAAAATAACTTTGGGAGCCCTCCATGACTAGGAGTTTAAGTAATTTTTATTTATCTTTTCTACACAGGTTAAGAACCATTTTCATCTAGTTTTATTCCCTGCCTTTCTTCTTTTCTTCCTTGACAGAATTCCAATCTCTGGTGAAGGCATAAGCAGCATTAGACCAAAGGCAACCTTGGACTGACTCTTCCAATTACCTTGTCCAACAAGCACTTCGCACTCAGCATGTGTTTGTACATTTTTATATCGTTTCAGGCATTAACAATTCCCCATACATCAAGTTCACACAGAGGATTGCTGAGAAGTCTGGCAACATAGAGATGTTTTGGTCACATGGTATTGTTACCTTTCCATTGTAAAGAAGGCACTTTGTGATTTTCAACCACTCATAATGTTGAAATTGTGGCTGGAAGAGGGGAGGAAGAAAAAAACATTTTAAAAACCCCACAACTTGGGGGGAAAAAGCTGCTTTTTAAATTTTGTTTAGATTTTCCATCCTCATACTTGACCATGCTGACTCGCCAGACACAGTTTTGGTGATCTTAAACAATATGACATCTTTTAAGGCTTAATTGTTTCCTTGAGATTTATTTCTGCTTAATTCTCTGATCCTTGAGGAAGAGCAATGCTAACAAGATAGCTAAAAATAATTTATAGTATGTCACAACCCTGAGAATATGAGAAAAAAGTTTAAGAGGAGTTGACACATAGCTCAAAGCATGAAATAAGTTTGTGGGTAATTTTACAAAATGAAGTACCAGGCTACAGCATGTATAATCAAAAAGTGTTTATGGCCTAAAATGTAACTCTCCCTTAAGAAGATTTATCTTTCATGAAATCTAAGACAGCTGTGAGATAGAGGAGAAGGGTCTAATCCCAACTCTGACACTGTCACAAGTTACAGTCCCCTGACAACATGGGCCACACACCTGGAGGTTTTCCTGTGAATCATGAATATGTTGCTTATTATCTCTTAATATGTACAAAACAGTAATACTTTGCCACATTTGTGAATTTCTGTGCTTCCTACAGATGAAACAACAGCCATTATTGCTGTTTGATTACCTTAAAGCTCTGTAACATTGCAAACTAATGGCCATTACTCAATTCTTTCATTATATGAGTAATCATCTATATAATCCATAACATCAGCAATTCTCTCAAGTCTGAAAGTTACTAAGAACTAGTCTTTCCTTTGACAAGTGTCTTACAGGATTTAGAGCTAGTGATAGCATCGTCTTCATTAATGGACAAAGTAAATCATGGTTAAAGGCAGAGCTCAATAGACTGAGTAGATATGTGCATTTCTGGCTGAGTGGGTTGGAAATTTCCCCACCAACATTTAGTTGTTTCCTTTCTTATCTACCACGATGTGGTTGCATCTCACAAGCAGACTGTCATTCTAATACTCCCTGCTGAAACTGGATGATAATTATAACATAATTTGGCAGCTGTTTCGAAGAAGAGCAGAAACAAAGCCTTCTGGAACTTTTATGTAACATTCAATGTTGGCATTTCCATGAATTGCGAGATGATTATGTGAGGCAAGTACAGCTCACTCATACCCAGGCATGTAAGAGAGCTGTTCGGCAGATTTAAGATGGCTAATGCAAAAGAGGAATTCTAGCAATCACACTCACTGAAGCTTTGGCAGAATTGTAATGAATATAAATCCTAATTCTATCCTCCCTGCCTTTGATGTTAAATCTGGGCTTAAATTATAGCTGCTGTTAATTGCAGCACTGAAATATTTTGCATAATGATGAGACTCTGTTGGTTCCTTTTACCTTATTCATTTTCCTATCTGCTGAAGAAAAAAGCACAAAGCAATCCAGATCTTCAGCAATATGCAGATGTAATATATACATTAGCTCTTCACACTGCTAATCACTAAAATATCATGTCACTAGTTCATAAGCAGATGGCACACACAATACCATAAGTGACAGACCTCATGCTGCATTCCTTGCATGTCTGTAAGTCTCATGTGGAACGCAAGAAATGCAAGACTACATAGTGGTCTATCCTGTATTCTAGAGATGTTAAACAACTGCACATCACTGCCTTCTGTTGTCATGAGGGGGAATTAAGTGCTTCTGAGAATCAGGCAATTCTTCTGCATGCTGCAACTTTATGTAAAACTTAAGAGAATTTTCTTTGTGAGAAAACCTGTTCTTAAACTGTAACTCGTGGCAAGATGATGAGTTTTAAATCTCATTAAAACCATCCAGCCATTTTATTAGAAGGAATTGCAATAAAACTCAAAAAAGTCCCCACTTTCAAAAGAAGCCCGTAAACTGTTCAGCAAAAACAATACCTAGTCCCTGTTAACTCGTCTTTTGGCACTAGGATCCACATTTTTAGAGCTAACCAAACTAGAAGAAAATATTTCCCACCTAACAGAAACAAATTCCAAAAATATAATGTTTTCTTGAAAGGTTCATCTCAATTAATTTAAGTTCAGCTAGTAGAAGCCTTCAATTTTCTTAAAGAATAGCACATAGTGTTCTCTGAACTTGACAATGTCATTGTGCTAGAGAAAACCTTTGATTGCAGGATATCTATGTGGATGCCAGCTGAAGTAGTAAAGAGACAAATGATGATATCTCAATGATACCACAAATAAGGTATGGAATCATAGAGTAATTCATGCTGGAAAGGATCTCTGGAGGTATCTGGCCCAATCACCTCCTCAGAAGGCCAACTCAGTGCACATTGCTCTAAATTGAGTTTGAGTATCTTTAAGGATGGAGGTTCTATAACGTCTCTGGGCAATCTAATAAGTAAGGATTAAATCCTCTACATCAACCTTTTATGGATGAAGTACACAAATAAAACACTGCTGAGTACACAGTTAAAAACCAAAGTTCTGTTAGAAACTGTTTATGGTACATCAAATCAGAAAGGATCTAACAACACCCTGTATTATCACACTGATAATCCGTCCTCAGGTTTAGAGTAAAACCATCCTATTCAGTATAATACTCAGTATAATACTGCTTCATAATTCCCAGGATAAATGAAATGTTGTTTATATGTTTTACCTTTACTTAAGACAATTAAAGAGCAACTCAAAATGTGCGTTCCACTGAGCCCAAAGGCTGTGAGTTCTCAGACATATCTCAGTCCCCTCATTACACTGTATGAGCAGTTTAATCTCTAATCCTCCCAATACTTGTGAAATAAAGATGGATGATGATCTCTTTAAGTGAGAACTAAACACAAAGAAATTGGTTGTCCTACACAAGCTCTTAGAAAAAGGATGTAAGGGGCCAAGGTGTTCAACCCAATATCCCAAACCCACCCTAGTGCTCTAGCCACTGAATCTATCATCTCTCTTAAACCAAAATTTTGGGTTGTCCTGGTAAAGCAGCAGAATCATGCATAAGATAAAATCTCCTGGTACTTATTGGAAGCTGGCTGCCTCCTAACTTCATGTTCCTTTAGAAAACCCAACCTAGATCCATTTGTAAACTTCAGATTAAATTTCGGCTCTCCAACTGTTTGAAATCTCAGTCATCTTCTAACAAGTAAGAGAGCACAGAAAGGGCAAGAAGATCTCAGAACATTCAATGCACACATAGACCGGTAAAGTTTCTTCTCTGAGTTAGCAGCCAGCCCATGTGGCAAATCTTTGATGCAGCATCATCAGAGGTGCCTGAAGCTTTTCACACAAACAGTCTGAGCAGAGGGGGCCAAGGCTGGTTTAATTTCCCGGAATGGGTTACTGAAATAGATACATCTTGATTAAATCTCTGAACAGACATGTACCTAACATTTTAATGCTTAATTGTTCATATATTTTAAAACATTTTAGTAAGTGGATGCTATGGAATATGAACTAAAGTGTTCACATTCTATGAAACTTAACTTCCATATTACTTTTTCTTGTAAGCACAGAAATATACCATCACATTGCTATGGCCTTTCTGGTACACTTTCTGTACCAAAGGCCTATAGAGCACACTATCTGGCAATTGGGATACAGCTGCTCCATACCTTTTGATTTGCTTATCAGCATGTCCTACACTCAAAAAACCAAGAAAATCGGAGTTTCTGTATATCAAGCTCCAGGAGAGAAAATCAGATCACCACACCGGTTACAGTATGAAAAAAAAGGTACCCCTAGACAGTGCCTAGTGCCTTCCCTTGCAGTTACAAAGATATTATTGACCCTAAATTCAAAGGGGAACTTATGTCAAAGTAGAATATGCAAATACTTGACTCAAAGGGAATCACATCAATTTCATCACAACTAGATATTAATCAGCTGGTCTTTCCTACATACTAACTTTCTGCCCTAACTCCCAGGCTTCCAAAACAAACTGATCTTATATTTTCAATGATCTTCCTAACAGACTGTAATATTTATCCAGCATAAAAATAAACACAGTAAAACCTGGTTTTTTTAGACAGACAAAATAACCCGTTCTTCCTATTCATCATTAAAGGAAAGTCCTCTGGAATTATTTCTGAGTTTTCAATTTAGTCTGTTTATATTCCAGCCTTTCGAGTGATTTGGTAGACAAGGGTTTTTTTCTTTTAAATATCTGTTCCTTCCTCTTCTCTTCCTTCCTCATGAACGCCCACCTGTTAACCTGTTCACATTCTCAGTTCCTTGGTTTTCCCTCACCCGCAGTGGTCCCGAGAGTTCACGGCTGGACTTGTCTGTCTTTGGTGCCATCTACAGGCAAGCTCTGGTTTGTCACAGAAATACTCTATCGATAAATGCTTTGTAATCGCTACGTGGTCTGCTGCAGGAATTACTTCTTGAATGTTCAGCAATTCTGACACAATTATCAGATCCTCTCTGATCCCAGACTATACTCTCAATTATTTCGTAGGAATCTGAAACAAAGGCAAAGCTAGTTCCCAAATGGAAAGACTGGATCATTTAGTGGACTGAATTCAAAGAGTTGTTTTACTCTCATTTTTCTTTCTATCTTCCAGATCATATTCATCTGACTTTGCAGTTAAAAAGTAAGGTTAGAAAAAATCTTGTTACTCTTAAGAGTCTACAGCTTAGAAGAAAAGAAGGAAGATAACACAGGAGAGAAGATGAATCCTGCCACTATGGAGTCAGTTTTAATTTTGCTGTTTTAATCCAATGAAACCAAAATGTCATCAAGGATTCGTACATGTTGTGATGCAACATCTTACTTTCTTAACCTTATTCTCACTGAAGTTAGAGTAAGTTTTGTCACTGAATTCAAAATTATTTACAAAGAACTTTTGAAATAGTCTCAACAATTGAATCAGACTTGGAATTTTAGAGCTATGACCAATAAGAAGTTCTATATGCTTTCAATACTGAGTATGTCTCACTCATTTGTCCTCTCACCTTTAACAGACTTTTCCTGCAGAATTTCTCAGCCAGTGCCAGAGCTTTGACTGATATTGAGACCAAGGCATACCTGGCAGCAGTGATGAAGATGGTGAAATTGGAGTGGATGATAAGACCGTCTTTATTAAACGGAGTAATATCTGCCTTTGAGACTTCCTAATGGCTAGCTCTGGGCAGCTGCCCTGCTCCATACATTGGATGTTACGGATCTGAGTCTGAGGTGCTCAGATCTGCTCTGTATTGTAGAGAGGATCTAACATAGGAGTCAGTCTATATTCTGCCCTTGGCTACAGGTGGTCAGTCCTTTTTTCCTCTACAGAGATTTTTTCAGGACCAGAACCTAAATTGATTATTTATAAAATTTCAGTATATTATTTCACTTCTTTTTACTACTGAACTATGGTATAATCTGACACTTAAATGCAACACTTCCTTTGTCTTAAGCATCTATTATTATGAGTATACAATATGTTATCTATAAGGATTAATTATCGGAGGAAGTATCATTAGTTTTCCATTATAACTGTAAAAATTAAGAACGTACTTTTTTGATTGTGTGATTACATGATGTGGTCCCATTTTATTATTCTTTTATTACTTTTTCAGAGTTTCAGGCTCCAGTCAAATCTTAACAAGCAGGCAAGATAAAGACCAAGGTATCTGTGCCTTAAACAATCTTTCCTATTGCAAGCCTACTATGTATTTATGCATTTTGTATCCTGGAAAGTCATGAACAATTGCTGGCAATTG